TACCGCCTGCCCGGGATGCCCCCAGCATCCCCAAACATCCCCGGGACGGCGGTGACCAGGCTGGAGGGACGAGGCGTCTGCGCTTCTGGTCACAGGGGTGTTGGAGCCCGTCGCACGGTGCAGGGCAGAGCCTGTTTGCTAATTAGCTCTGCTCTCAGAAATGCCCCAGTTAATACAAGTAGAAGCGTGCAAACAACTTTACCTCTGGGCAGCGAGTCTTGGTACCGGGACTGCTTTGAGCAGCAAAATTACGAGTGTAGAAAACACTGCGGGACGCACGTCAGAAGGGCGTGAGTTTAAGGTGAGACTCAGACCCGCAGATTTTCCACCGCCTTTACGATCCTGCCTGCGGGAAGGATGGCACCGGAGAGCCTCTCCGGGCTCCCAGGATGTGCTGCGCTGTCCTGAGCCTCGCAGACTCCTCTGCCGGGTTGTTAAAGCAGGCCTGGAGCTAACCGAACCCCGAGGGCGTCGGGGTTTGTCGGTTCTCCTAGAGGCAGCTGATCTTCCCGTTAAAGCGTGGAAGAAGGAGCCCAAACTGATATGATGGCTTACAAGGTCTTGCTCACTTAGTGCAGCCAAAGTGTTTTGATTATTTTACAAGTATGAAATAGTAAAGATTTTTTTTTTTTTTTTGGTTGGTTTTGAAGATGAAGGAAAAAATACGTAGTGAGGGAAGAATAGGAGTAGCAGCTAGGCATCCTGTGCCGCCTCCCGCAGAGCTAGACCTCAAAGTTTTCAGGAGTTTCAGCCGGGGCTGCGCCGCGGGCCACCCTGCGCCGGGGACAGGGGACACGCACCCATTCGGACCGTTCGAGCACCGCTTGACAGCTCGTCCGTGTGTTTTCTCGCAGGCATGCCAACCGGACTGCAAGGGCAGAGCGTCTCTTCGGGAAGCTCCGAAATCAAATCTGACGACGAGGGAGACGAAAACCTCCAGGACACAAAGTCTTCTGAGGACAAGAAACTAGAGGATGACAAGAAGGATATCAAATCAATTACTAGGTCAAGATCTAGGTAACAGTATATAATAGTGTCGCTTCATTTAATTCCTTTACTGGATTTCGATGAAGTGAACAGAACAGGAGGAAACCATGAGGTTTTTTCCTGGCAGGTAAAACCACAGCCGAAGTGGAACGGCATGGCTGTCCTGGCAGTACCCGGTGCCTTTCTGGTACCTGTACTCCAGGACGTCCTCAAATTCGAACAATTCACAAATTTGGACGTTGAGCAAGTTCTCCACAATCTATAAAGAAATTGCGTTACGCTAAAACGTATGAATTGGGCTGTTATTCCTCTCTGCCTGTGCTTGCAAATTGGAATACAGTGTGGGTTTTCATCTCTTCCAAAATCACACCTGCATCCGAACTAACAACCCCCGTGCTTTTCTTTCACCTCTGCGATAAATTTGTCATTCCCAGCCCTCAATTCCTGTCCATCTCTAGGGCTCCCTAGGTTTAAGCGGAGGGTTTAGAGGTCTCGTCTTGACTTGTTCGGCATATTCTTTATACGGTTTTGGAAAGTGTTAGCGAAGTCGCGGCTGGATCGCGGCATGCGAACAACGTCTGTGGGTGCAAACGTGAACCCGAGCAGGGGACAGGCTTTACTTCTGTCCCTTGAATCTCACCTGCCTTGCCTGCGTGTCACCAGAGGCCCCGAGGTCCAGCAAAAAATCCTGATAAAGCTGAAATCCAGGCACAACCCTGCTTCGTTCGGGGGATTTTTTAATTTTTTTTTTTTAAAGATGAATGGCAGCGTCCTTCTGCCTTTGCTCCTGCCGCGCCTGGTTCTCTGTCTAAAAACCGAGCCGAGGTACGAAGCGTCTGAGCCAGACGCGCTGACCCGAGAGAGCGCCGAGACTCGGACCTCTCAGGCCGACGCTTAAAACGTTAATTACATTCGCGCCTCTTACGACAGGAGAAAATATATGACGCTCGAGATTTTCTCTTGTATAGACGTGTCGAAGTGACCATATGTAGAAGTGAGGCTTTGGTGTGCCTTCACGATACGGTAAGAAGAAAGCACCTTTCTGCTGATGTGAGGTGATCGTAGTTCTTGTGAATTCAACAAATACCGCTCTGGCTTATGCATATTTATATGGGCTTTGAAGCTTTCGTAGGCTAACATTTTTGCTTTTAACACGCTTGCAGCTTTAAAAGGTTACTCCTGATACTTAGTTATATGTCTAAATCCATGTTGTTAGGGCTGCGGAAAATTTATTGCTCCATTTGCATAACCAATTGAAATTATATAGTGCCAGTGACTCACCAGTGGATGTGTTTTCAATTTAAAATCATCATTTTATCCGGATGGAAGGCAGTTTTGTTGCAAAAAGGATGCAGAAGTTCCCCGTAGGGCTCTTGACAGCCATCAGTTACCTCCGTGGCTCTCTGGCCACGGGCGTTTCGGTGCCCCGGGCTCCGTGCGGGGACGGGGGTGCTGCCCACACCCGCTGCCCTGGCTTCCCCCTGCTCGGGAGGACGGCACGTCCTCACCCTCACCCTCGGCGATGCAGAACGTGTCTTCCAAAACCCGAATGACGGTTTGCCGAAGGGGAAGCGTGTAAATGCACGGTTGGCGTTATCCTGGCTTGGAAGCTCGTGGTGAGGGGCCGGAGCCCGTGGGACGTGAGTGCCAGCCCCGGTGCGACGCGGGGCAGGTCCCCACGCTGGTCGGGGACAAGCTCCTCGCTCCTGGGGCAAACCCGCAGGCGGCAAAGGTGGGAGCGGTGCAGCTAGCCACCTCTGTGTCCTTTGGAGCTAAAGGGCCACGATAAGTGGCGATTGGCCGCGATTTAAAATGTTGCCGTATTGGCTGCGATAAAGTATTTTACTGGAAAAAAGCTCTGTTTTGGCTTCGTTTCAACCTCGGAAGTCCTGCCTTGCGGATTGTAAAGCTTCCTTACAAACCACGGCTTTACTCGGTGTGAAATTTAAGGGGACTGAATTTTGCACGGGTTCAGTGGAAGAGGAACCGCTCAAAAGGTGTCTGTTGATGGATTCGTAGCCCTGGTTTTGGACAAAGTCTGTTGAAAAGTCTTTGCACTGCTTGTTTTCCACATCATTAGAAAATGATGTATTCCTTTTGTCTCCCAGCAATAACGATGACGAAGACCTGACACCGGAGCAGAAGGCCGAGAGGGAAAAGGAAAGGAGAATGGCCAACAACGCTCGGGAGCGCCTTCGCGTCCGCGACATCAACGAGGCTTTCAAGGAGTTGGGCCGGATGGTGCAGCTCCATCTGAAGAGCGACAAGCCCCAGACCAAGCTCCTGATTTTACACCAGGCTGTGGCTGTCATCCTCAGCTTAGAGCAGCAAGTCAGAGGTGAGTGTGCCACCTCTTGTATCTCCTTACATCCCTCCTGGGCTTCGGCCACGCCAAAGTATCAGGAATGGTGTGGCCAGCAGGACCAGGGCAGCGATCGTCCCCCTGTGCTCGGCCCTGGTGAGGCCACACCTCCAGTGCTGGGTTCAGTTTTGGGCCCCTCGCTCCAAGAAGGCCATTGAGGTGCTGGAGCGTGTCCAGAGAAGGGCAACGGAGTGGGGAAGGGTCTGGAGCACCAGTCTGATGAGGAGCGGCTGAGGGACCTGGGGGTGTTGAGCCTGGAGAAGAGGAGGCTGAGGGGAGACCTGATGGCTCTCTACAGCTCCCTGAAAGGAGGGGGTAGCCAGGTGGGGGTCGGTCTCTTCTCCCAGGGAACAAGTGATGGGACAAGAGGAAATGGCCTCAAATTGTGCCAGGGGAGGTTTAGATTGGAGATTAGGAGAAGTGTCTTCACCAAAAGAGTGGTCAGGCATTGGAACAGGCTGCCCAGAGAGGGGGTGGAGTCCCCATCCCTGGAGGGGTTCAAAAACTGTGTAGACGTGGCACTTGGGGACCTGGTTTAGTAGGCATGGTGGTGTTGGGTTGACGGTTGGACTTGATGATCTTAGAGGTCTTTTCCAACCTTAAAGATTCCATGATTCTATGAATTCTGGGTTGGGGAAAGCCTGGCCAGGGGCACCTTACCCCCGGCACCCAGAACCAGCTGGGCACCTCCAAGGACCTCCAAGCACCCAGGGTGCTCATGTTCCCCTGCGGCACCGGCACCAGGGATGCTGGCGTAGGTCCTCGGCGGCCTCGGCATGTTTTACGTTCTTTAGCAAGGTCCAAGTTCAATATTAAGCTTGGCCGCTCCTTAGCGAAGCTCAAACACGGAGGTATTTGCAGAGCTCGTGTACGGAGTCGTGCTGTGTTTCGGCGCTTGGCCTCACCAAGCTCCATCCTCTGCTTCAACCCCCTAAATTCCTGTCGCAGGAACGAGGAACCGGTGATTAATTATTCTGAATGCCCGTGCAATGAACAGACCGATCTGGGATAAAAATACGAGTATTTTAAATCGCCTTTTGCTTCAATTCAACAGAAAGAAATCTGAATCCTAAAGCAGCGTGTCTGAAAAGAAGGGAAGAAGAGAAAGTCTCTTCAGATCCTCCTCCGCTTTCCCTGGCAGGACCCCACCCCGGGATGGGAGATGCCTCCAATCACATGGGACAGATGTAAAAAAATGTACTGTTAAAAAAAAAAGAAAGAAAGAAAAAAAAAAGGCAAGTTTGGTTTTGGCCTTCTGCCCCGCACCCGGTGGGGTTACCCCCCCCCTCCAGCCCCGACGTCCCCGGGGTGCTGCG